GTCTCGGGGCTCGAGGACAGAGCCCTAGGCCTCGCAGGGCAGCCTTGCAACCTTAGAAACGTGAGCAAGTACAGGGTTCTGATGGAGAAAGACTCCTCAGCACAACTTTCCTGGCCTTTTTCTCACCAATGCCTTTTTCAAGGTTCTTACAACCTCATCATTACTAAGTCCCCATGGTTGTCCGGTGTCCTTTGAGAAAATCAAGATTATCCTTTGGGGTCCTGAAAACAGTCACCATAATTTTCTAGGCTGAGTGCTCTACCTCGAATTTAACAAACCTAGCAGCTATCCACAGAACCTACTGTGCCGATTGTACTTTTATTTTGAAGACACCTTGGCAAGACTAAGACAGGTGTATGACTGAGAGAACTTTTTTTGCAGCCATCTACTGATCACAGAGAGATGTCTTATATTCTCTGTGGAATAAGCTGGTACATGTATGAATTGGAAACTTGGATACAATGCTTATTACTTATCCTTGTGTTTTTAATAATGATTCATTAAAATAATATTTTAATATGTTGGATTAATAAAATCTTTTGTTAAAACTAAATTTTTACTTTATCTGCAAGCCAAAGATTGGCGGTCCAAACCCACCAGATACTCTGAGAGAGAAAGATGTGGCAGTTGGCTTCATAAAAATTATAGCACTGGAAACCCTCTGAGGCAATTCTCTGTCCAACAAGGGCTGCTATTAGTCAGAATGAACATGAGGGAATGGGATTTCATTTTGGCTTTTATGTGTGATTTGTATCATATTTCTATAGGACCTTTTTTCTTAGATATTATTATAAAAGGCTTGAATTTCTTGAAGAAGCCATTTTGAAACTTAAATTAATTATAGAATTCACAAATTGTCTTAGGAAACAGAATTTTATACAAGGCCATGTAACACCACAATATAATAAGACTTCAACAGAAAATGCCATTAATAAACATGAAACTGTTGTGACACTTTTCCAACTTAGAGAGATAAGACGTTTTGTTCAAAATGCATATGTATCCTCTTCCATTTTTAGATGGAAAAGATGTTCTGTTTCTAGTCATTGTGTTATCAAAGCTGTTAGATATAAAAAGATGTGGTGTGAAAATTGTGTGTCTCATTTACAATAAAAGTAATGAGTAAGTTTTAATCACCTTTTGCACTATTTAGCCATTTATTTTTCTTTGCATCTTTGATTTCTCTCCCTTTAGATATCAAAGATTAAGTTCATTACTCTTAAAAATTTTCTTTCCAAAATAACTACATAAATAAAATATATCGCTATTTAATATTAGCCTGGCAGTCTGTAGCTCTTTCTCCCCCTAAATCTTCACCTGTTCTTTTCACTGTGATTGTTAGAAAAAGCCTGATCTATCTGGGTGAAAACACTTAAAGCTGAAATATTTTGAGATATTGACAATCTTTTTTATCTGCCAGTGAGGGACCCACAAGATGTTTGATATACTAAGTGCAATTTTAAAAATAGAAATGACTTCTTTGGACCGGTAGCTGTTTGATACAAAAAAAATCAAACCTGGCTCTGATATTTGCTTTAATTTAAGTACATTTTTACCATTTTTCTTTGATTTTTTTTTTATATAGAAAGAATCTCAAAAGAATGGTAAAGATTTGAAGGTATTGGAAAAGGAGGT